AGAAGGGTGATCATCAATGGGAAAATTCAACACAACCAACACCATCATAATCTGTTTGACTTGGTTTTATTTAATTACATCTCAGGTTCAGTTTTACTGAAAGGCATTTAGTAGGTCAGATTCACTTTGGGCTTGCCTTATGATAATGCAGTCCAATCCGTGTTGGGTATGCGACACTTACCCACTAAAGACAATAAAAGTTGATCGCACAATTTCATGGATATGTTGAAGTTAAACATTTAAACCGTTGAATGCTGACTCAATGATCTAGAGGTTAAGAATTTACGCGCAAAACCGAGGGTTCTGAGTTCGAGTCCAACGTGCAAGATCGTGGATGTTCACTACAGAGCAGTCCCATACTAAGACGAAATGGCTGTCCAGTGTTTCCACGTTTCTAATAGTGATCTAACGTTGATCGATTCATGATCTCAAACAATCTCCACAACACCATACTAACGTACTATTCTTGAATCTATGTATTTATTTATTATTTATTTAAACACATAAATATTGGTACAAGAAGGCACCGAACAGATCTACGCCACTTAAACCATTCGATTTGTGCGAAAGCCCCAGTGCCCAAACCGAAGCAAGGAGTTTTCTTAGGGAGCCATACCTCGAGCCTTTGACCTAAAGGTCTGATCCACAAGACAGTGGAGCGACGTCTGGAGATGCAGTTCCATGGTAGCCAGTGACCAACAATTGGTTCATATGCCATTTGTTTGCTCAGGATCCTGGAGCCTATGTACACCATTGGTTTGGAATCCGGGTTTTCCAATTGACCTAGATAAATCCTCCACATCCACTAACACATTTAAAGCGTCGAACATTCGCTTTTCCTCCTCTCAATTTCGTAAACAACACCCATGATGCGAGAATGTAGTGAAAAGGACTTCTCTGTCAGTGGTTGTATGCACGTAGTCATATGAGAGCATTTGGAGAGAGGTAGAGCTGAATCTCCCCCACTGTCAGCTGTACCAGGGCACCTGGAAGCGAATCTATGTATATTAATCAGTTAACCATGTCAATTCTCAGATAATACACATAGACCGAAATAAATGATACTTAATTTCATTAACGGAAGTTGAAGTGTCATAAATTGAAAATATTCATGACAGTAAATGACAATTTGTAGAAACTTCCACGTATGTAATAAGTAATCAATTACATGATCCATTTCGATGGGCCACATTATACTAAATACCCTTCTGTATTTATCTTGTTCAGTTGACAATTATGTGTAATGGAGTTATTATGAAAGTAACGAATTCATTCATTCATTCATTCATTCGTTCGTTCCTTCGTTCGTTCCTTTGTTTGTTTCTTCTAAATAGTCGAATAGTTCATTTTGAAAAGGTGACATCATAATTTATAGATAAGCCAATCAGATTTAAGATTAAAGGTTTCGGATTTTGGCGCGGAATTCATTTATTTATCCATTTGGCTAAATAGAGTTTTGGCATTATAGCTGATGTTAGTTCATGATGAAAATTCTAAATCTAATTTCTAATTTAAACCATCAATTATAAATCTTAATTCTTATTCTTCGAACTGTTTCATAATCTCAATAGTTGAAATCATGAGTTAATTGAAGTTAAATCACCATGAAAAATTGGGAAGCACTGGATGACTGTTTCGTTTTAGTATGGGACTCCTCAGCAGTGTGTATCCATAATCCCGTCTCTCGCGAGATTTGAATCCAGGACCTCTCAGTATTGTGTGAGAGCGTTTAACCATTAAACCACTGAGTCGACATTTAACAGTGTTAATGTCATAAACCTTATTTAGTTTTACTAAATAGATTAACACTCTCAAGATCACTTTAGCATCTCATAAAGGTCGTTTATAAATTATAATCTCACCTATTACAATTATTTATATCAACTATTAGCTAACTTAACATTTATTAATTTCAACGATTAATATGAATGTAACTTATGTTAAATGAGAGATACTCCGCCTAACTCAGGGTCGGAAAATTTCGCAAATGCGATAAAAATGATCTTGATGGTCTAGTTATAGTATTCCGACATCAGACAGTGGGTCTTAAGCGTTATTTAAGCCCTGTCGCTTCAGGCTGGGCCATTTCGCTTACTACCCTAAACATGTGTTGTATGCAGTATAAGTTAAGCTATATGGCTATATAAAGCTGAAGGTCTCATATGTGGCTGGAGGTTCTTCATTGTTATTGTGTATGGTTCGGCATTGCTTTGGCAAGCTTTGCTGACTGTTCATGCAAAAAATTGATTTGCTGGTTAACCGATTTCAATTATACTGGTGGTTGCTCTTCAGTGTTCCCGAGGGCCATTGCCGTTGGGACATTGTAAGGCGTGTCACCATTGCTAACATTAACGAGTTTGACCGTCGTGTAAGCGGAATAGGTCAACTTTGACCTGTTCGTGCTGTGCATAATTGAATCACGCGATAATTGATGTGAGTGTGTATATGAATGGTGCAAATGGTCCACCAGGGTGCTTGGTACCTGTGTGGTTGCGCCACAGGATTGAGCTGTACTATTCACATTGTAGCTTTGAAGCTTATGCAGTGTCTGGTTCCCCTGCCAAACGGGGTTGAGCTGTACTGTTTGGGTTTTTACGTGAAAGTCCGAATGGTGTCTGATTCTCCTGAAAACCAATGTAAACTTACCCTGGCCCACAAGGGTATATTATATAATATATAATATTGATAAATGGAATGTTTTGACTCCGTTATGTTTGCCGAATTGAATAGCTTGATTGAGAGGTTACCGTTGCTCTTCTGTTCAAATTCACTAACGATTATATTGAGGAGAAGCCATTGATGTTACTATCGTGAATGGCAATTAAAACATAAGGTTCAAAGTATGCAAATACAAAAAGCATCCATCTGATTTGTAAGTTTTACTGGCCTTCGAATATTTAACTCAAAGCAGATCAAACAAATGATCGTTATTGTATGACTACTATCGAAGTATACATCCTGGCTATCCTCGTATATAATCATCGGCTTAACTTGTGTAAGTGAATGGTACTGCGTCTGAGTCTTGAAGTGGATATCAAATCTGAGATCTAAGTACATCCAGTTGACGAGTTTAAAGTCGGACAAAATGCGTGCTCTAGATTCCACTGCTAGCCACTATCCATCTTTACTTAGAAAACATCTATTTTGTGGAAGTTTCACTCATTTAGTGAACATTGAATATGTGCATTAGACGGAACAATTGATATATTACATAATGTCTTGAAGTAGTTTATAGATTTACACGTTTTCTACTAGTGTGATCTAGATCCTGCCAACAGATATATTTCAACTGTGAAACTCAATTCTCATCAAGACAAATGACACTTCATAGGAGCTCACACATTATTCTAACAGATAGTTCTATGTATGGTTTACACTTAATCAATTAATTGAAATTATGAATAAGACAATAATTTATGGACGACCTTTGAGAGATGCTAAAGTGACTTTAAGAATGTTCACCTACTTAGTAGAGGTAAATCTGGGTCATAAACCTGTAGGAAGAATAAGGATCATGATTTATAATTTATGTTGAGCATTAGATTTTCATCACTGATATCAACTATAAAATGCTCAAAACGCTATTTAACCAAATGATTAAATGAATGAATTTTGCACCGAAGTCGAGGACCTATAATCTTGAATCTGACTGGTTCGTCCATAAATTATAGTCTTGCCACTAATTTTCATATTATATAATAGTTGAATTTATGAGTCGATTAAAGCTAGACCATCATAGAAAATATGGATACACTGGACGTTTAGATGGTGGTTGGAGGTAGTTGACAGGAAACTCTGGACCAGGGTTTCGTGTTACTTGGCACTCGTCAACAAGGTGTACCTTTAATCTTGAGGAGACTGATGCTCCCCGGAGGACTCGATCCCGTGTCACCCAGCTTCACACTCAGAGACGTTACGAATGAGCTATCCGGGCCGCGACTGACGTCCTGTAGGACTGAGATGTAACCATAATTGATTGATCACTGGATGGTAATCAATGTCATGTGCGTCAAGTCCTTATTATTAGTGCAAATCGAATGCTATCGACCATGTTGCAATGTGGCCACCAGTCTAGGTGACTCGACACTGCGTGCACTATGTATCGAAATTATATGGTGGTCGGAGGTAGTTGATGGGATAGCATTCGATCTGCACTAACTAAGGACTTGACACATATGAAATTGATCACCACCCAGTGATCAATCAATTGTGACACTGTACGTTTATTTCATCCTAGTACGAGACTCCGCAACAGTGCTCATCTGCGACGGCACTCTCTGGATTCAAACCCAGTGTAGTGGGGACAACCGAATGTTTTTGACACGAAATTACAGAACATGTCACTAAAATCTGGGAACCATATAGTAAATAGTTAATTTTCAAAATATCAATCCATCATCTCAAACTTCACTGTTCCTTTTGCAAATATCAGTCCATTGTCTCAGATTTCATTGTTCATGCATTTCCATACCAACTGTATTTCTTTTCCGTTCTTTCCTTATCGATCTTCTACTGAAATACATTCTCCCAGCCTACCCACCGTTATATACTACTTATATGGATAGAATTAACCTACACCACACTAGAACCTCCGATTTCACAAACGAATGCTTAATCTCTTTCTCAATGACTCATCCAATGCTTCCAGATTTTTACTGATATTGTAACGTTCATCAACTTATGAAGTCAATAATCTTCACAAATCACCACCAGCACTACCCCACCCCACCCCCCGATTTCAATATTGATTATTGGAACTATATAGAATAAAGTTATTCTACTTTCACTGATTGAAATCATGAGTCAATTGAAGCTAGACCGCCATGGAAAACCTAGAAGCGCTGGACGGCCGTTTCGTCCTGGTATGGGACTCCTCAGCCGTTCGCATCCACGACCCCGCACCTCGCGAGATTCGAACGCAGGACCTACTGGTCTCGCGCGCCAGCACTCAACCACTAGACCACCTTGCTTTATCAAAAAGAATAAAAAATAAAACTCACATTCACTGAAGGCCATAATCTATTACTTTGTATACTTTTCAATAAAACAGATTTCTTTACTGAATACAGATCATTATTATTATTATCATTATTATTACGATCCTTCTTATGATCACCATCCATTTCATCATCAGAAATCAATAATAAACTTGGATCTAAATGATTATGATTATTATCAGTATTATTGATTTGATCAATATATTTCAATTTATTGATTAATTGATTTTCAATGAATTGTAATCTTGTATAAAATTGATAATAATAATGATAATAGAAACTAATTCCTAAACTAATTAATACCACTGTAATGAATAGATTCCATATGAATAATAATTTAATTTGATAGATTAGATGATCTAAATGGATACGATTCTGTTGTATTAATTTAGGATCCATTCGATGTATTATTGATGATGATGATGATGATGATGTCATCAAATTAGGTGTCCGTAATGAACTAGAAACATTATTATTGCTATTATTAGTAGTATTTGTAATAGTAGTAGTATTATGAGTAGTATTGTTAGTAGTAGTAGTAGTATTTGTACTTAATTGTTTCTTATAAAAATCCATTCGATTATATCCATTCTGCATGGTCTTATGTAAATCGATACATTGATTATTATATTGTAGATCAAGTGAATGATTTGTATAATATGAATTAGATTTTAATGTACAATTATCAATATCACTAAGTGGAGGATGAAGAGGAGGAGGATGATGATGAGGAGGAGGATGATGATGATGATGATGATGATGATGATTTAAGGTTGGTTTGTTTAAATCATTCGATTGAATAGTATACTGTTGAAATGTTCTATATGGAATAGAATCTATATTGAATTCATTAGGTTGTGTAGTATTCGGATTACTTTGAATTGAAGTTAACATGAACAATGAATGATAGTTGTATATCTAGTTGATGTTAATTACAATTTCATTATTATTCTTTCACTAATTCAATAGGATAAATATAAAACAAACAAAAGGATACTGTTATATCCCAATGAGAATAATGAATGGTAACTGTTGGGATCTATTTCTGGACTGATACTATACGTATATTTTTATTCTATAACTGTTAAGTAACTAAACTATCTGCATATTCATGTTCCTCTTATTATACGGTTTATGTTGACCCATAGACTATTATTCTACGATTCACCATTCTTGAGTTATGCCCAGACTATTCATTACTGCCTGCCATATTCACAGCTACATTTGGCTAAATCTTGTATTAATGTTGTTTTTCTAATTTATGGTACGATGTGGTCTGCTTGGTTTGTATATAAACCCAGTATGTTTGAAATAGATTATTTATATTGTAGAGGCTGAGATTGGTGTCCTGGATTCGAACAGGCAGGCAGAGTTAGGCAGGACAAAGGACCGATAAAGACTCTAGACTGCGCGTACAGGTTTGATGTGTCGTTGGTCCGGTCGACAACTCACTGTTCTCTAATTGGTGGTATCACTACGTCACAAGGCTTACAAGTTATAACAGTTACATAACTCGAAATCTTTATAACAATGAGTTACATATTTGAATGAACAAAGTTTGTGTACGACCAGTCCGAGAATACTGCACCTTTATTCTTAGTAGTGAGGGTATAAAGGATAAATTAAGGTTGAAATCAATGCAAAGACGATATACACTTCGTATCCTTGGAACTGATTGTACCTTGACTCATAATTCTAGATGTGATACATTTGGGCTCGACCCTTTGTGGGAAAAGAAACTCAGGCCAAATTTTATCTCTTTTATTCAAAATACTTAATAAACTAGCCCCTAAAATGCCCTGGTATGGCCGAGACTAGGGAGAGTTAGCTCTCCTACTCCAAATTCTCTCAAGTGGTTCCGTGCATAGAACCACTGATAGGGAAGTCCTATTCACTACATTCTCGCAGCAAATTGAGAGGACGAAAAGCGAATGTTCGGGCTTTAACCGAGTTGGTGAATATGGAGGACCCTGATTTCAAACCAATGATGTGCATGGGCTACAGGATCCTATAGGAAGAAATGTAGCATGAACCAACTGTTGGCCACCGACTACCATGGGTTTGCATCTCGCGACGTTGACTTACTGCTCTCTGAGTCAGACCTTTAGGCCAAAGACTCTGGGTGTGGCCCCCCCCCCAGTACCCCAGCCCTCACACATATCGAATGATTTGTGTGGTGCATATCTATTTGATGCCTCCTTGTACCAATGTTTATGTGTTTAAATAAATAAATAAATACATCCAATCAAGTAATTTAATATGCAGAAACTTCTTATTACGACATCCGTAGCTCCTTGTCACTAGTGAAACAAACTCATCCTAAACCATCTCTCTATATGAATTACTTAACCTGTAGATTTTCTAGGCTCTCGAATAATCTACCACAATCTATCCGCATAATAAAATCACTCGCATCCTTTGTTCGTTGCATTGATGCATACTGCTCCTCTGAAGATGCATTGAATGTTCTAGCACATGTAAGTGTATCTTATTCCACAAATGAGATTTCAGGAAATTTAAATGTTTAGCCACTCTTATTAATGAATCCCCTAAGTTAAACCACTTATCTCCTATCACTTTACATTGACACTGTCCCTAGCAACCATAACTAATTTGAGTAATATTCAAAGTGAATAGTAGATCACTGTGTCAATTTTCGTAATGTTTTTGTGCTTGTTATATGGTTTTTATTCTACTTTATTAGTAGTTTGACATATTAGCTGCTTACAACCTCAGTGAAGGTTTAGTCAGCCTAATGCGGTTATTTGTAACAATGCTAACTTAAGCAATTGAAATTCACCATCAAATCAACATTAGATCACAATCAGAGGTTTATGTAAAAACGAGTTCTAACATATTTTACACTTGATTTACTTCTCTAATTATGATGATGGCGAACATGGATGTCGGTAGTTGTTACGAAGCAACAATCGATCCAACATGTGTATTACAAGACGGAGAGAGCTAAATCAATGTTCTTTGCAATGAGTTTATGGAAATGTTTCAGCAAAAGAGCACTAAAATAGGAGAACACTTGGTATTTATTCATGCAACCCAAAGGACATCTAACAAACCTACAGCATTTGGAAATACGGAATGACCGCCTTTTGTGAGGCCGTTCTAAGTCGTTTTAACAGAACAGCGGTCAAGTTCGAAAGGATCTGACATTTTACTGTGCCTAATCATTATCTATGAAGTATGTTAATACTTTCAATCATTCTATATATATATATATATACCAGAAAAGAAAAGATAATCTATATCTCATTCTGTTTCTATGTAAAGGTCAGTTAGAAAATTAGATTTATGTTGAACTGAAACATACAACACAATCTAAATTGATGTTTAACCTTGATTTTATTTATATTTTCAGTTCAGAGAAATATAGTACATTTTGTTAAGAAAAGGTTTTTCAAACATTTCAGTATTAATGTTAAGGAATGTAATTGATCAGCCTTATTTGGCCTATATACATCTTGAGTGTACTGAATTGTTGGAAGTGGATAGGACATACATTGAAGAAAGCTCACAACTGCGTCATAAGGCAAGCCCTCATCACTTGAAATCCTCATGACCAAAGGAGAAGAGAAAGATCAAAGAACGCAATACGTTGATAAATGGAGACAGATTTGAGAATAATGTACAACAATTGGATAGAACTAGAAAGGAAGGCCGAAGACAGAGTGGGTTAGAGAATAATGGTCGTCGGTATATACTTTATTGGTTGTAAGTAAGTAAGTAATGAAATCCAGAATTCGTGTTTCGTTTTCGTTTGAATATCAATATCGAAGTGAAAATGCATTCAATGAATGATTCTTGGATGAGCGTCTTGGATTTCACTTATCCATTATCATAATTTGCTTAAGAGGAATCTACTTAATAGGTAAATAGATAAATTGAAGTCTACAAGACAAGTTATTCACCACATTTGGAGAAATTCGAACAC